CGGTTTACTTCAAGTCGATAAAAGAGATTGCCGCAGTGCTTTGTCATGGCTTTTCGTGTTAAAAGTGGCACTTACTAATCAGATGGTCTCTGTAAATGAACCGATTTTCATAACGGTTTTTTTTCCGGATTTTAGGTTCGTGAAGTACGTGGCCAATTGAAAGATATCATGAACCAACAGAAAATGCCGCTGAAGTCGTGCGGCAACGATTGGGATATCATCAGAAAATGTATCTGTTCCTCTTACTTTCACCAAGCCGCCAGATTAAAGGTAACATGTTACATTAAGGACTTACCTCTATACCTGGTAATTTGGTATTATCAAATGAGTTGATAACGTAAATTGGCCACCTTTATGAGTTTCAAAGCGTTAGCCTTCGTCCTTATCTCTGACGAAGGGCTAACGCTCGAAATGTCAGCTTGGAACTCTTAACGGTGGCCAATTTACGTCATCGACCTATTTGATAATACCAAATTACCTTGTTATACTCTCTCACCAACGCAGCACCACAGTTTTAGAAACTACCCTCTTTAATCATTCCTTTTCTAATAGATTCAAATCACCCCAAGTTTGACCTGTTAACCCTTCAACCCCTCAGAGTGACTAGCATCTAATTTCTCCTTACAATATCACCATTGAATCAAACGTTAAGGTAATGAGAATTGGGGTAATGATCACCAACTAAAGCAGCGCTTGATTATCAGACAAATTCTCTTTGTCAGCACCTTGGGAAATGTATAGTGAATAGTATGGAGATTATGGATACTGATGTTAGGAGATAAAGGGTGAATCTGTCTCGATGAGTAAGAGTTTACTGAATTTCATTACAACTACAAATAGTAGGAAGTTGTTTTATGTCAAGGGTCTCAAAAACCGAGATGAGTTTTATAAGCTTCTTTTCAATTCGTACGACGCAGTAATTTTGATCTGAAATATTCTAATTTAGATAATGGTATGTACTTTTTCGGTCATTAAGACCAATAACGACGATGGAAATCAACACCCAAAAAGATCACATGACCACACAGTACAAGCTGCGTCAGAGGTTTAACGGCGGACCGGAAGTCGTTTTGATATTAATTATTTGCATTTTTGTCGCAGGGCATTGGAGAATACGTCAACATGAGAACAGGAATGCCGTGTCATCTTCACCCCACTAGTGCTCTGTTTGGTATGGGATACACACCCGACTATATTGTTTATCATGAGCTTGTTATGACCTCCAAGGTAAGACGACAAACCCACGGTAACGTAGTTATTAACTCCCGCATCAGATTTGTTATTCTCTTTACGGTCAACCATACAATTCTTATAATGTTAGTTCAGAGAATTTAGTATTGGATCAACTTATTATCCCCAAATCGATATTTTTCTTTATTCTCATCACTTACCTGGCTGATATTGTTTTAATGTTGTATGGAGAAATTCTGTCTTGGTCACTCATGATGAGAGTTAAAGGGTTAACGATAACTTAGGCCGGTGCATTTCTTGACAGATGCGTAGTCACGTGATACCTATAACATTAGAGAGATTCTGACTCTGGCGCACTTTGGGGCTACGAAGTTTGATTGGAGTTCTCTTGACATTGCTTGCCTGTTCCCAACCTCATGGCTGAGGGTCGGTACTATGGATGTAAACGCCAGCTCCAATCTTGTTCTAACATTTGTAATCATCATGTAATGACCACTTAGGGAGTCCTCTCTTACATGCTAATAACTCTGTCGTCAGGAGTGCACAATGGTACAGCTAGCTAGTTTCTTAGGCGTGCATGCATGTTTGTTCTACCTTATTTGGATTTTTCTCTCAACTCTTTAACGCAGGAATACATGCAATGTGTCACAGCTGTTGATGGCTACTGGCTGGCAGAACTGGGCCCCATGTCTTACACAGTGAAAGAATCCATAAAGACAAGGCTGGTTAGTTCGCTTAGTGCTTTTTAAACAGGACTTCGGCATCTTCAGGGCCGGTGGAGCAAAGAGAGAGAGTCGGGTGTCCCGAAATCATTCAAAAATATAACTTTTGTTTTGATTACAATCGTGCCTCTTAGTACTCGTAGAACCTGCTATCAGGGGTGCATACTTTTCAATCATCCAATCTCCCCGCGTCCCGATTAAAGTTGGTTTCACCATTCTTACTATTGTGTTCAACGTTATGCTGACGTTATTCACTTTATTTAGTTCATTTTTGATAAACTGTGTATGTCACAGGGCCATACTACCAAGGAAACATGGTATTTTCTTCATTATCTACAAGATTTCGACATAGTGATAACATATGTCGGTAGTCGAGGTTCTGACAGCGTTTCTTCACTATCTTTGTGTTGTCTAGGAGAAACGAAAGCGTGCCAGGGAAGACTTATCGGCTATGGAAGAAGAAATGGCGGCTGCCAGTGCGCAGATGAAAGCTCGAGAAGAGGAAAAGCTTGCCAAACTAACTCCTTCAGTAAAGTAAATAAACATCATGAACTTCCTATTTGGCCGTATCTATAGATCAGTGAAATAGGCCACAATTCTACAATGCTTCTATACAATACTTGTTTTATTTGGTCTCTCTTTCAATAATAGATCACATATCGCTACGCCAGGACGTAAAACACCTGCAACTCCACGCCGAACGCCCTACAGATTTGGACTCTGAAGGCCAACGACAGATTTTGTTCGTCTAAGAAGTTGTGGAAAGAGAGTGGTGAAATTTGAGTCTTCATAGATTTTTACGAAGGACTGGTCAAGCTAACGTTGGAAATAAACTGTATATGAACCCAAACCGAACAGCCGGAAAACCCATAAGCATATCCCCCCCCATACGCATGGGGGGGGGGGAGGAGGAGGAAAAGGGGTGTGGGATGTGGAGAGGGAAGCTACTCTTTCAAAGAATGACGTTGCTCGTTGGGAATGTCAGTTTTACACCATTTGAAGAGATCAACTCCCCCACGAGTTATGACTTTTCAACAGCAATCGAAAACATATCACTCTGTTATCGCATTATGATATTACGTTTTCCAAATCTCACTACATCAATTTCCTGTCCAATACAGAACGACAACACTTTTTTGATAAAATACTCAGACATGAGCTGAATAAACTATGATAATGAACTCAAAGAGGGGATCGCTTCTCGCTCTCTTATGAGACTCATAGGAGTCCTAAATTTCCTGTCCAATACAGAATGACAGCATTTTTTTTGATCAAGTACTCTTAAGTTACAACCATTCAATTTCTATACTCCAAGACGTGAGCTGGATGAATTATGATACTAAAGTCAGAGGGGATCGCTTCTCACTCTCTTATGAGACTCGTAACAGTCACCATTAAACATCTCAAACTGTGATGAATCGCGATAACCACGGTTACTGTTTTTTGTCCAAACGTGTGAGAACCGAATGTTCTGTACACGGTAGTGACTCATTTCAGAGCGAATGCTGAGCACCTTTTTTGTAGAGTTGTAAATAAATGTACAGCTGGCACTATTCGATTTATTGTCTCTTTATTTCGTCTTCACCTGCTCTGTGTTACGCTTTTCTATATTTGCGTAAAACGAAATGATCGAAGAACCTTATTGTGGTGAGCACAGGCATATGTACTATAAAAGATCACAGTTACAGGAACCCTTTACCTCTGTAAGCGTTTATCGTTCATCTGCTGTACGTGCACTTTCTAAATGTTCGCATTGCTTTGAAAGTAGCATAACATTCTTACACTCCAATGACTTACAGTAGTCTAAGGATAATTGTTAACAGTTTTGGAAACTTTGTCTTAAAGGAAAAGGGAAGGAAGGTAAAAATTGAGGAGAACATCTTAAATTTGGTCTGCATCCAATTTATAACCTGTGTATTTTTTTTCTTAATTCGGCGGCCATCTTCAATCTTGTTTAAAAACAACTTCATGTTAGATATTTTCTAGGCATCCTAAAAACAGCCACTTGGGGGGCGACGATAGTCTCTGGTATAACCGAGATTTTTCTCCACTCCTTGTCTTCTTCGTTGTAACACTCAACACTGTCTAACGTGTTTAAGATAGATCGGCCATTCGACCCGCCAAACACATACACGTGATCTGCCACGCACGTGATTCCACATCCCGCACGTGGTACACCAAGTCCAGGTACCAAGCTCCACTGGAACTTCTTAGGGTCAAAGATCTCGCAGGTTGTGTGCATGCTATAATTTGAACCAGCATAACCGCCAACTACCAAGACTTTCCCGCGAAGTGCATGAACTGCAGGTTGTTGGCGTGACATGGTCATGTCCGGGAGAAGGTTCCATCTCATAATCGTCGAGTCGTATCTTTCGCAGCTTTTAAAATTCTCTTTGTCTCCGCTGATGACGTAGATAGAATCATTTAATACTGTTGCACAATGGCTGTCACGTGGTAAGTTCAAGTCTGCAACAAAATGCCATTGATTGCGCTCTCGGTTGTAACATTGTGTTCTACGAAGTGCCGTATTGCAGCAGTCTTTGCCGCCAATAACAAACAACTTCTCATCTAATGACACAACGGCAGCAAATGAAACTGGGTGAGGAAGATCCGCTACATCGCAGTACCATTTATTCCTGAGAGGGCTAAATCGACACACGTGGGAATGAGCTGAGACATTTCTACATACTCCTCCCACTAAGTACAAAGAACCTTGGCAGACAGCAGCACTGTGACCGTGTCGCGGAATGTGAAGATTAGATAGCGTTACCCATGAGTCACGCAACGGTATGTACGCCAAAACACTGTTGTTTGAGCCATACTTCGACACTGATCTTCCCCCTGTCAATGCTACCACTGTCTCGAGAGGTCCAGTTCTTGGCACATGCAGCTCTCGAAATTTCTCTGACGCCGAGGAAGTTTGTTTGATTGTTTTCAGTAAAACGTTCACTTCGACTGCGTTACTTCGAAGCAACACATCACTCTTAACAATGTTGATCAAATAATCCTTGCGGATAAGCGGAAACCGAACATGTTTTAGGACTTCAAGAAGCAGTTTCTCCCTCGACTGAAGATCGTACCTTATCCAGGAGAGCGCAGAACAGAGCACTTCGCTTTCGTTGTGAACATTAAGCTCGTCACTCTTGAGTAACCTAATGAGCGCCTCGAAACTCAATTCTTTGAACGCTTCCGATTTTGTTACCATAGAATAGTTTTGATTTGTGAAGAAAGTGCACGATTCTTTCAACAGAGCACAGTCGAACTTAGTGGAAAACCTCTGTAGGGAGAGACAATTTGAGATGTTGATGAACTTTTCTAACGCAACAGCAGCATGCAATTTTAAGGCTGGAATATTCAGGTAATCGGCAGCCATGACTAAATCTTGAGCATTGGATTCATTTATCTCCACCTCACCCGTATAGAGAAATTCAAGGACTTTTTCCATGCCATATATACCTTCCAGCTCCACCACGCCGCTCTTTCTCTCACGAAAATCATCCGAGAACAAAGCTTGAAAATAAACGCTGCCTGCGGCCAAAACACAACGGTGAGCAGGAAACTCCAACGTTTTGTCAACACGAATGAGAACGTCACAAAGAATGCAAGCTTGCCTCAGTTCGTTAAGAGATCGCAGAAGACTTTCTCTAAATTTGTCGTCGATTGTTCGGCCTCCTTGATTATCAGATGTAGAACACATTTCCTTGCCGGCTTTGAAGTGAAATCGGAACGTTGAGCAGTATGTAAATTGAGGTAAACACCCGTGACAGTCACCCCTAACCTGACTCATGTGCAATTAATGTGGTTTTTCGATCTGACTCCGGGTAAGTCACATGAAGTAAACTAATGTTTCTACGTGAACAATGCAAGAACATTACTAGTAAATTGGTGAAAAAACATTCAGGGAATTATAAGGTACCCTCAGTAATTTCTCTGCCATGAAGACTCTCACCGTGAGAACAAAATGGAACCACTACTGTTTGCAGCCATGGTCGTCACTTCTTATCTTGAAGTCGAAGTCCTGTTCACAACTAAAAGAAAAATATTAGATATTAAAAAAAATGGTAAAGCAAACTAGATACAAAAATAATAATAACAATCATGGTGATAATTAAAATATTAATAATAAATGACAATTAAAACATAAAAGACATAAATTACAATTCTTACTACGCTCAAAACAACCTTGTAAGTGAGTTTGCTAGAACCCGGTGAGAACTGGGAACCACTGCGAACCATAGAGCGGAAGCGCTTTCAATGTACAACGTGGAAAAAATATGCTTACTCTTCAGAATAGATTACCACAAAAATGGCCTCAGTACGAGAAGAGTACCGCATAAGTTCTTACAGAAAGTTGCTCATAGAGCTATCGAATGCACTATCCACTAAAGATCTGGAAGAGTTGGCATTTGCTGCAGAGGACTTTCTTCCCTCGGGGATAATAGAAAATACAGGAAGTGGGCTGCAGTTGTTTACTGCTCTACAGAGAGATGACAAAATTGGCCCAACGAATTTGACTTTGCTACAGAATATGTTTGAGACAATCGGCAGAGTGGATCTCTCGCGGAGAATTCAGGATTTTTCAATTACAACCGACAGAATTGAGCCTGAAGGTAAGCTTTTCTATCGTGTATCGGATTAAGGAGAATTTACAGGATACCTTTTGTAGAACGTTTTTTACAACTAAGCGATCAATCTTTGGCTTGAATGGCGTTACTTGTTGTGGAAAGTTGATCAACAGGGGTTGTGCATGAGATAGAAACGAATTACTCGGTCAACAACGATAATTAGTAAACATTTTCTCGGCTATTTGGGAAACGTGCTAAAAACCATAAAACTGGTGTAAAATTTTACTTGAACGCAATGGAATGCGTCTTATGCGTTGTATTGCATCCTAAGCACTTTCGAATCCTTTGTCCCTTAAAACATAGATAACCATCAAAATGACCTCCCATAGCTTAAGTTGTTTTTTTTCAATCTTTGGCTTGAATGGCGTTACTTGTTGTGGAAAGTTGATCAACAGGGGTTGTGCATGAGATAGAAACGAATTACTCGGTCAACAACGATAATTAGTAAACATTTTCTCGGCTATTTGGGAAACGTGCTAAAAACCATAAAACTGGTGTAAAATTTTACTTGAACGCAATGGAATGCGTCTTATGCGTTGTATTGCATCCTAAGCACTTTCGAATCCTTTGTCCCTTAAAACATAGATAACCATCAAAATGACCTCCCATAGCTTAAGTTTGCCACAAACCTTAATACTTCCTTAGGAAGTTGGAAATTGATTATAATATTGTTTTTAATGGCGATTATTCAAATTCCATAATTTTATCATAAACAGCTAAGCTACATGACTTAGTGAGCGATGAGGGAAGGAATGACAATGATCATACAACTAAAGAAAGAGATCCTTGTGACACAGTAAACCCTGCTGGAAATAAAGGTACAGCATTATCAGTAAACTGTCAATCCTTTAACTTGCAAGATCTGATTGTTAATTCTCTCCTCTTGCTGCTACACAATTCCTTATAAATTAGTGATAAGAATTTGGTGCAAGATCAAGATAAAAACTTCCTCTTGATAAGTTTGAGTATTCTCATTAACCATTTGCTAGAAAACATATGAATATCACTGGGAGAAGTTACCTGTTAGTCACTTCTGGGAGTTAAAGGGTTAAAGTATCGAAAAGTTTCATTTGGAAATGAGCTGGAGTAAAAGTTGCAACACAAAACTTTTATTTTGATTAACCATACCTTGATGACTGGATTTTTAAACACATCATTTTTTTCTATTTTGATTCAAAATTGTAACTATGTTGCGAAAAATTAATTGCTGATAATCTATGTATTTCATTATCATGTTGGGTGGATGACAAAATGATTGACCATATTGGGGATTGTATGCTTAGTCACTTGCTGAAAATCTGGAAAATAATAAATCAATTACATGCACTGATATTTACATTACAAGCACTGATATTTAGGTCATAAAGTGATTTCTGTCATAGAGTCAATACTGTTCGGAAATCTTAACTTTAGAGAATTATAATCCCAACCCACACCTTATTTAATTAACCATCTACAACGTGTTAAAAAAATATAATTATCCAAAATCTAGGAGATTTAGTGAACTGAACTGGTAACTAAGAGATTAATTCTGTGTTTTGGAGACCAGTCCAGATGTTTGAGGGAACTGGCCCATATGCTGTCATGATTGATTCAAAGGCAGTTCCAAAAACTACAGAAATAAAGGTGTTGATTTGAAAATGGAAAAATAAGCTCTTGTTGAGATGAAATTGCATCATAGGGATTATTTATAATGGGTCATTCATTCAATCACCTTCAGTTTTCTTAAATTTCCACAGCTTAAGGTAGAGTCAGGGATCACTGAAATGTTAGGAATCAAAGTTAGTCAATTTTCCATAACCTTACCATAAACACATAAATTTAGTGTTACCTATAATGATTATATTTTTATCATCAGATGGGCCTGGTGACATGGTGACTGATGGGGTTGGGGATGGTGAAGATATAGGAACAGCAAAAAGTGGTCCTGTGAATACTACAGACACTACTGAAGGTATAAATTACTTAAGTTTATCTATATTTTCAAAAGTAGAAAGAGGTTTGAGCTTTTATCATTTTTCACTTTTTTCCCTCTTTTTTTTTCCTAATTTTATTGATGCTCATTTGATATTTGTTAATTTGATTACAGGATATTTCAAATACAGCAATGCATGTATTATCACAAATTCACTTTTCTGATCAAAAAATGATAGAAAAGGTGAAACATTTACTCCTATAATTATAAATTAGCCTCCTCAAGTAGCCCTTAACCCTTTAAATCCTGAGATCTAATTGCTAATTCTCCCCTCTAACTGCTAGTGGTCAGGCACAGTGACCTCATGGTTAGTGCGCTTGACTCCGGATCAAGTGGTCCGGTTTTGAGCCCTGGCCGGGGTCATTGTGTTGTGTTCCTAGGCAAGACACTTTACTCTCACAGTGCTTCTCTTCACCCAGGTGTACAAATGGGTACCAGCTGGGGGTAACCCTGTGATGGACTAGCATCCTATCCAGGGGGGAGTAGCAATACTCCTAGCCGCTTCATGCTAAGGAAACCAGAGTTAAGCACTGGCCCCATGGGCCTCTTGGGCCTGTATAAAGGCTTTACTTTTTTTTTACTTTCTAACTGCTACACATTTCCTTGCAAATCAGTTACAAGAATTTGGTGTTAGTGTTTAACTACCTGATAAATGAATAAAGGGGTAAGTTTATAAAGAAATTGTGGTGCTGCGTTGGTGGGGGAGTATAGCAGGTAATTTCGTGTTGACAACTGGGTCGAAAACGTAAATTAGCCACCGTAAAGAGTAAAAAAGCTGACGTTTCGAGCGTTAGCCCTTCGTCAGAACGATTGACGAAGGGCTAACGCTGGAAACGTCAGCTTTTTTACTCTTTACGGTGGCTAATTTACGTTTTCAACCCAGTTGTTAACACTAACTTACCTAACTACCTGATAAGTTTGATTATTTTCATTACCTGTTTGTTGGATAATGTTTGGATAGCATAAGGCATAAGTCTATGTGTGACTCAGCCTGTGTACAAAATCTATATTCTGTTGTAGTTGCCTTTTTTATTTAGCTCAAGGTTATAAACCTAAAATGCTCTCTCTATTCTTGTACATGCATTAGCTGAAGCTGATCCATTTCACACTAAAGTGCAGCCAGTTAATCAGCCATCGTTGGACGAGGCAAATCCGTGCGTTACTTCCACAGTCTTCCTTTCTGGGCTTCGTGGTGGTCATGGGGCTCATACAACTGAGGATTGTACTCTCGTATGCAGTCATCCTTCACCTGTTACAAATAATGGTGAGAAAGTGGAAAAGGACTAAATTATCAGAAATTAATTGAATTATATGTCGTGGACGATAAGTTAACTCCTGCCAGTCTCTCATGTACTGCCAACAATATGATTGTTGGATGTAGTGGGCCATACTCTACTGCAATAGGCCTACTAAGACCAAAAGCTGTTTATGGAGTCAGATTTTATCATTAGATATTGCCATTTTCGTAACTTGGACTCTATAAGTTTTTTTTTATATTAGACTGAACAACGAATTCAATTTGAATCTTTTTTCTTACGATTTGTATCCGCCGTTTGACGCCGTTTGACGCCGTTTGACGCCGTTTCCTGAACCAGTCAGACACGCATTATAGGCGCAATAAATATATTACCAAGCTCATCATTTCTCTCTGTGCTGTAATTAGTCTCGGTTCTCGTTTTTTTTACCGTTTCAATTTGAGGCCCTTGGGCGACGTTTCGGTGGGGAATAAACTTCGTCCATAGCTCAGAGGAGTCAGTGAGAAATATATGCTTCATTCACCCTTACATGCCATTGTCTTACTAGGCACCATTTTGATCGACTCATTTCATAAGCACGTTACGCTTGGAAGTGCGGGATTGAAAGACTATACAAAACTATCAGACTGACCTAAAAAAGAGAATAATTTTTCAACTCTCCTCACCCTCTTTCCATTATTACGATCTATTTTTTACGTTTTGTGAGGCCCAAATCTATTTTTGTTCTTTGTTTAACCTAGGCTCCTCTCTGAGATCAATGGGAACACATCCAGCACCCTTGCCAGCACCCTTGCCAGCACCCTTGCCAGCACCCGCAGGACAGCAAACGGGGCCCACTCAAGTCGCTTCATCTTCCCGATTCCAACTTGATCCAGCTATTGAACCGGAACCTGCGCGATATGTTAACTTTCTATTTTACGAGGGTTACTCGGTGGAAATATTGGGTGGAAAACACTTTAAGACTCGTGATGGAGAGTTTGTGGAAGTGAAGAGTGGAACACAGTATAAAATACTCGTCAAAAATTCACGCACTTATGGTGAGGGGCAAATTAAGAGGCATATGTTTTGAAAATGTTCCTGTAGCATAGCCCGTGGTCTGGTTCCATTTCTTACTGAGTAATAAGTAATAATCAATTTCCCGTTTATTGACTCGGGACTGCGCTTTCATTAAATCTCAGGTACCAGTGCTATTGCATTTTATCAGTTCCACTTTTCAATAGATTTCATTTCTTGCAAGTTCCTGTTGCTCTTTATTTTCAGACCGTCCACAACGGTCCATAAATTTTCTTGGACTTGTATCAATGTTCACCTCCGAAGTTACACTTATGATATTTCGGATCATTTTGGCAAGACGATGGCCAGGACAAGATGCCATTTTACTTAAAATTGTCACTCGCTGATTACTCCGATGACAGGGAGATAATCCTTGTAGATAGGAAAGTGATACAGCCGGCAGAGAGTGCCATTTGCTTGCCACCAGTTATGCGACCAGATATTCCCGTTCTTTCCGTCGTTTGGCCTGAGTTCAGAAAGACCATAACGTTATTTTTCATTGGTTGTGATCTTTAACAGGTTGTCATTTGGACATATCTATTGATGGTTACGATATTGGTGGATGGGCTCTCCACGGAGGAGAGGAGATGTCAATCGAAAGATCAGCTTATGAGGCCAAGAAGTTCACCTTCTACCGAGTGAAAACTGCACCAAAAGAAGCAGGCATTGAATCTGGCCGGCCTGAAAATGGTCTTGTGAAGTGCGTGTTCACACCTGAAGCTTTCCTTAACATTCCAGTGATCACCTCTGATTCTTCTCAGCCATTGAATGTGAGCATACCTCCATCGGCGACAGTTGGTGAGTTAAAACATGAGGTGCAGAGCCAAATGGAAGTACGGAATGACCCGGATCAAGTTCTAGCTCTAGACGACAAGGTGCTCCCAAATGATTCTCTCGTAAAGTAAGTGACCTGTGTAAGCCTTAGACTGGATAGTAGATTCAGACGTATTTTAACTTTTTGTCCAATTTTTTCTTTACTTTGTGACAGTCGTGTTCTCAGGACACCGGGAAATCTGAGACTTATTGATGCAGAAATGACAATTTCAGTGACAGTCGAGGCATCCTCCAAAGTATCTTATCCAAAAACCTTTCCAATAAAGGTACATCCGGGCAGGTCAAAGGTCCATGACCTCATGGAACAGATAGAGAGACGGCTCAACGTTCCGGTCAGTGACCAAAAGCTTTACTTTGGAAAAACTCTCCTGTCCGGAACACCAAGTGAGTGCCTCCCTGATAAACTCATCTGCAGTCCACGACCGGCTGTAGCCGTCATCCTCCCGGAGTATATTCATATAACTGTGGAAGAACAGAATGGTGACTCGCATGCCTTGAAGATAGACAAAGAGAAGAACTTGAAGGCTGTCATGGAAGAAATTCCTTCGTGTTGTAACCTGCAAGAAAATACACAGGTCATATTTTATTTCAATGAAAAAAAACTCTGTCCTTTTAAAAATAAAGGGAACTTAGACAACCTGGGTATTTGTTCTGGATCAAGGCTCGAGTTGAAAATGAAGATTCTTTCCATCGAAGTTGAAGCTTGTTTCTCAGGTGGTTCTCCACCCGTCCGCGTGAGATGTAGTCCTCAAGATACTTTCCACGATTTGATGGAAAAGATTGGGGTGAAGAACGATAAGAAAAAATGGAGGTTTACATTTGCAATGGACACAAGAATTTTTGATCCAGATGAAGACAAGAGTCCGTTACAAGGTAAAGTTGTACTTCTTTGGAAACTCATCTACAGTATTAACAATTTGTTTAAGGTGCCGTCGCACGGGATGGAAGTATGCTTCTATTTTGACAATTTTATCGTGTGAATTGATAGAGCCAATGATAGAAATGTATGTCGAATACCTTTACTTTATATTAGATTACGGAGTTACGCACGGCTGTACCCTTCACGTGACGAAACATCTGGCCGCTGATACTTCCATCATGCCTCACGAAACGGCTAAGTGTAACGGGTAAGAGTTCAAAAGGTTAGCTGCATACGCGAAAATCGCAAATCGACCTTTGCACAAAGATACTTTACTTACGCCTTGTATATAGGAACCTTATTTCACGTTAAGCGGCATCAAGATTATTTTAACTGAGTGCAACTAACTTATGGAGTGGTTACCTTAATTCCTAAATATAAAGCCTTCGTAGTGAGTTCATTATCGTGGTCCTTAACTGCTATACTAAAGTTTTAGAAGCGTAGTCCATTAATTGCAGCGTGAAACGCCCGTTTTGCATGAAGAATATCGCTCTGACGAAGGGCTAACGCTCGAAACGTCAGCTTTTTTATCCTTTACGGTGGCCAATTTACGTTTTCAACTCAGTTGTTACACTTAATTACGTTTTATACTCTCCCACCGACGCAGCACCACAGTTTCTTTAGAAACTTCCCCCCTTTATGATTTTTACAAGGTTTATTTTCCTTCTCCATTCGCATGTTAATTATGTAGAGGTGGTCTTTCTGATGTCCCTGGGGATAGAGAAGGTAAGTTATTTAAATGTTTTCACAAGGAAAGTCAAACTTTGATGAATGTCTGATTTTTTTTCGTGTGGTGTGCATTATGAACAGACGAAGAACGTATGCCAGAAGTTTTGAATTTTTTTTTTTTTCTGAACTTCAAGGGAAGAAATCATTTTTCCGCAATGTAAAAGAAAAGCTTTTCGGCAAGCCACTTGAAGAGTGCACGAGCGGTTTAACCCATTTAGGCGGTAGGTATAAACTGTGTCAATATTTAACGGTACAGACTCACATTTGTTTTGTAGAACTCGAAAAATGCCACTTATTACCTTTCGTAATTAAAAGTTCTCGAAAGGATTAGTGCCAAGGGACGTATGTTTCTTATGTGTCAACTTTTAAGACAATTGATAACAGAGATAAGCAAGAAAAAGGCGATAAGTCTCCTTTCCAAGGAAAGCCCCGGCCTTGTCCAATCATTAAGGGGAGAAAAACAACGAATTGTCTGAGCATTTATTGTTAATTGTCTAGAATATAATTGAATGTCAAATTCTGCATTTTGACATAAGTTGACATCTGTTCACCCGACAAAGGCGTGAATGGTTGGCTATAACCTTTCAATTTATATATAGTTTATAGGTTTTCTGATGAAGAAAACTGTGAGTAAATCTCAGTATATATATACTCCCGTTTTCAAAAAAACGTTACAATTTGAACGCCTTTTCTTTTCCATTAAAAAAAGTGCTGCCGGAACTTATGATAAGGAAAAGTTCTCAGTAGGTTAAAACAATGACTGATTTGTTTCACCTTTGCACAATAACAAAGAAGGAATTGCCCCTTTGATGTGAAATGCCCAGTCCATCACCTTTTGGATGAGAAAAGAAATGGAATATTTATCTAATATATATTTTTTAAAAAGTAAAGTTTTTAAAAACTTGTGAACATACTTTTGGGTCGACAATTTATACCTCCACTGCGTGACTTCCTCCTTTAATATGTATTTAACTTGCCCAGCTTTTGTAGCCCTTCAGGAATTCTGTATTACAACATCATTTGTGCGCATGTAAAGCAGAAGATGTGATAAAACAGAGAATTCTTTTCCGTATATGAAAAAAGTTAACTAACTTATACTTTATTTTCTCTGTGGAAACAAACGCTCGTCCTACAGAGTTTGTTTGTTTGAATTCAAATGGAGGCCAATGGTAAAAGAATAATTTTGTCTGAATTGTAACCAGAATTAGGTCTGAATTGAAATTTCAAAAACAAATAGCCCCAAGGTTGATTTTTTTCTGTATGAGCTTGTCCAGTTATTTATTTATTTTTTATTTATTTTTTTTTCGGATTCTGTCTTCCAGAGTTACCGATGGATATGCCAGAGGAACCTGGTAAGTTGCGTTTAGGGGACGTCCAGTTCTCACTTTTTTTTCCGGCTATGACATAGTTCAATAATAAATACAAATACTGTCTTGCAGTTGAGTGAAAAAGTGTCGTAAAACCTTGAACCTAGTAGATATCATTTTAAAGTGATTGAAGGCTCGTGCAGTATTAAGAAAGATTTAGGACCATCAAATGGATATAGTCCTAGCTCGAGAAAACTGCTAAACGTAGTCTGCGAGGTCAAGTTTGAATCGAGTGAAATCGAGATCATACTATGAGGAATGAGAAATGCAGAATTTAGTGTAAATTGTAGCAAGAAATAGTTCCTGAGTGACTTAAAAAAATGAGCAGTTCATAAATAAATTTTTGAGGCACTGATATATATTCTCATAATTTTAAAACAAAAGTATGCTACACCGAGAGAATCCTGTCTTTCTTTGCTCCTATACATTTAAGTTCACCTCAACATTCCCCTACGAACCAAAAGGGTAAGTCGTATTCAAAGACTGCTTCTTGCAGTAAACTTATGGAGAATGCAACCTAATTAAAAGACAAAAAACGCATTGCGTTTACAAGTTTGAATCGAGTTAGATCAAGATCATACAATGAGAGAAAAGTATAATTTTGTCTAAATTATAACTTACTTAACAAAGGTGAGAGCTCTAATTGTTAAGTAAACGGTTCATCAAAAGAGAATTACACCAGCTCCCTGAGTGCTCACTTCACTTTTACACCGCACCACAGCCTCTTACATGTTTAAGTAGAATAATCTTAAAAAATAGCTTGCCTACTTGTCAAGTCAACCGTCCATTTGAAGAGACTCACAGTTGACTTCAAAAGTACTAATTTCTAGTAAATTTCAAGTACCTCATCATTACTCTTGTAATTTACAGGATTGTTGACACCGTGTTGTTCAAGTGAGTACTTCCCTTTTTTTTAAGTTAGGTTTTTTGCTACAAATATTTCATAGCTTGTATGACGAAGCAATTTGTTTAAGAGACTCGTTAAACTCCTCCCCCAAAAAGCTAAAATTAAGGGTGTTTCTCAGACCCTTTTTGTTTTGATTTGCCATTATGAAGAGTTTCATTCGGGGAGTTTAATTTTAGGGGGGGGGGGGAGATAGGGGGCAGCCGTCAATAGGGACTTTGATCTGTTACTGCCCCCTGTTACGAATTTCTTTTTTTATGAATCTGTACATCTCTGTAACGAATAAATTAAATTCAAGTGGAGTGCCAAAGTTTTCCAGACGTCAAATTTTCATTTTATAGAAAATTTTATTTATGAAACTACTCGATCAGCTTTTCTTCTCATTTTTTTCGACATTGAAAGCTCTCGCTTTTGTTACGTAAACGGTTCATTAATAGAGAATCACACTATTTCTCTGAGTGCTCACTTTACTTTTACACCGCACCACAGCCTCTTATATGTTTAAGTTGAATAATCTTAAGAAATAGCTCACCTACTGGTCAAGTCAACCATCCATTTAAAGAGACTCGCAGTTGAGTTCTTAAGAACTAATTTCTAATAAATTTCAAGTACCTCTTTATTACTCTTGTAATTTGCAGATAGAAAGAAAGACTTTCCTTTTTTCCTTGATAAGGGTGAGTAATTTTCCCTTTTTTTTTAGTTAAGTTGTTTGCTACAAAATTTTAGGCTTGTATGACGAGGCAATTTGTCCTCCCAGAAAGCCTATTGTAAGAACCTCGTCAAACTCCTCCCCAAAAAAGCTAAAATTAAGGGTGTTTCTCTGACAATTTTCGTTTTGATTTGCCACTATGAAGAGGTTCATTCGGGGAGTTTAATTTTATTAATTTTAAGGGGGGGGGGAGGTAGGGGGCAGCTGTCAATTGGGACTTTGTCCTGTTACTGCCCCCTGTCACGAACTTCTTTTTTATGTATCTGTACATTTTTGTAACGAATAAATTAAATTCAATAGAATGCCAAAGTTTTTCAGACGTCAAATTTTCATTTTATGGAAAATTTTATTTATGAAACTACTCGATCAGCTTTTCTTCTCATTTAGAATAATCTTAAGAAATAGCTCACCTACTGGTCAAGTCAACCATCCATTTAAAGAGACTCGCATTTGAGTTCTTAAGAACTAATTTCAAATAAATTTCAAGTACCTCTCTATTACTCTTGTAATTTACAGGAGAAATGGGAGGTTTCTTTGGAGGTGGTGAGTAATTTTCCTTTTTTCTTTTAGTTAAGTTTTTTGCTACAAATATTTTGAAGCTTGTATGACGAGGCAATTTTTCCTCCCAAAAAGCCAGGAGCTGGATAAGCTAAAATTAAGGGTGTTCCTCAGAACCTTTTTTTTTCGAATTTTCCATTGTGATGAGGATCATGTGGAAGAGTTTTGTATCAGCCATTCTCGATCAGATACATTCAGTATATGAATTTGATTTCTGTTTCACTTGAAGAATTTAGGTACAGATGCGGCATTTTAGTTGCAGATGTTTCGTATCTCAAAGATACCTTTGTTTCTCAATACTTACGACATCATTTGTGCGCATGTAAAGCAGAAGATGTGATAAAACAGAGAATTCTTTTCCGGATATGAAAAAAGTTAACTAACTTATACTTTATTTTCTCTGTGGTAACAAACGCCTTGCTTACAGAGTTTGTTTGTTTGAATTCAAATGGACACCAATGGTAAAAGAATAATTTTGTCTGAATTGTAACCAGAATTAGGTCTGAATTGGAATTTCAAAAACAAATAGCCCCAAGGTTGATTTTTTTCTTTATGAGTTTGTCCAGTTATTTATTTATTTATTTATTTTTTTTTTTTCGGATTCTGTCTTCCAGAGTTACCGATGGATATGCCAGAGGAATCTGGTAAGTCGCGTTTAGGGGACGTCCAGTTCTCACTTTGTTTATTTCCGGCTATGACATAGTTCAATAATAATTACAAATACTGTCTTGCAGTTGAGTGAAAAAGTGTCGTAAAACCTTGAACCTGGTACATATCGTTTTAAAGTGATTGAAGGCTCGTGCAGTATTAAGAAATATTTAGGACCATCAAATGGATATAGTCCGGGCTCGAGAAAACTGCTAAACGTAGTCTGCAAGGTCAAGTTTGAATCGAGTGAAATCGAGATCATACGATGAGGAATGAGAAATGCAGAATTTAGTGTAAATTGTAGCAAGAAATAGTTCCTGAGTGACTTAAAAAAATGAGCAGTTCATAAATAAATTTTTGAGGCACTGATATATATTCTCATAATTTTAAAACAAAAGTATGCTACACCGAGAGAATCCTGTCTTTCTTTGCTCCTATACATTTAAGTTCACCTCAACATTCCCCTACGAACCAAAAGGGTAAGTCGTATTCAAAGACTGCTTCTTGCAGTAAATTGGGGAGAAAGCAATCTAATTAAAGACGAAAAACGCATTGCGTTTACAAGGTCAGGTTTGAATCGGGTTAGATCAAGATCATACAATGAGAGAAATGTATCATTTTGTCTAAATTATAACTTACTTAACAAAGGTGAGAGCTCTTAATGTTAAGTAAACGGATCATTAATAGAGAATTGCATCAGCTCCCTGAGTGCTCACTTTACTTTACACCGCACCACAGCCTCTTACATGTTTAATTAGAATAATCTTAAAATATAGCTCACCTACTTGTCAAGTCAACTGTCCAGTTAAAGAGAAACGCAGCTGAGTTCTAAATAACTTATTTCTAGTAAATTTCAAGTACCGATTACTCTTGTAATTTACGTATTATAACCCAACCTGTCGTTTTTCTGGAGACCGAGAGTAATTTTCCTTTTCGTTAAGTTTAGCAGATAGATCAGAATAAACGGATCTTGCCCTTTCCTCGAAATATCTAAAACGGAACTTTTTTAGTGCTATGTCTACAATAAGAATTCATTTAGGACTGAGAAATAAAGCCTCAGAGGAGGAGGAGGAATGAGAGAGTTGTATGCGGTTATGCGTACCATCCCATGATGGAAACTTTTAGGTTTAAAATGTTCGTGAATAAGTCATTCTTCAGTTTACTGACTTAAAGTAAATTATTTCTCTCGTTATTTTGCATTCGAATTTCCCACTTCGGTGATCACTGTGTGCGATATTTTTCGGCTATGATTCCGAATTATAACATCTTACTAATGCGTCGATCAATTCGAAGCTTCAAAATTGATATACAGCAAAGTCTCACTCGTTCGTTTTCTGAAAACAGACTCGTACGTAAATATCGTACAAAAACACCTTCCATGATGAAGTTTGTGTAATACTACTGAGATTTTCTAGAATTTCAAGGTGATTTATTAAATCGCTTTTACAAGTATCCATGTAATTTGGACGCTTTCTATATTTCTTTCAAAAGAGTGCCTTACAAGTTAAATCAAGGCTTGAAATAGTAAAATGACAAGTTGAGTTGAATTAACTAAGCTTACAGCATGACAATTTCATAAGAACGAATTAGTTTTTTCGAAAGGAATTCATTCAAGAAAATACTGAATAAAAATGAGGAGAAGCTCGACAAAAAAAAAGTACTTAGCTTTTCAATGAAGGTGGACTGTCTTCGTCGTCTGAACAGTCAAATGTGCGTTTTTATTCATTTATAAGTTTATTGTTTATCCGCTTCTGTAAAGGACGAGGACGAATTTCGACAAAAAAGTGTGTTTCAGTTTGAACCATTAAAGTCGAGCCACTTAATATTCTTGACATACTATTCTGTTGTTCATGTGAAACATGACTGTAGCTGTTTATGCTCTTCACATTTTTCTGTCCTGATAACTGCATTATATGACTAGGAGGAATATCCTTATCATTCAATGTTTGAATCATTCGTTTTCGAATACTATGAGAGTTGAGAGTTGTCAAGAACGGCCTTCTCAGCCATTGTTTTCATTAGACTGTTAAGTTTGTTAACTCCCATTGCATTGGCTTTAAAACGACTTTTATCAGCATTTTTGTAGTATGATTAACACCCTGATAAAAGGGTGCATTTTGTTTGATCATGGACTCTGGTCTCTTTTCAGAATAGATCTTGAAAACAACTATAGGATCTCGTTCACGTGGTTAATGTGGAGTCGCGAAAGCTTTAGTTTGATCGGTGGGACATTACGTGGATCAGCTCCATTTCCGGTTATAGTTCGTTTTTCAGAAAAATGTAAATATTCAGTTTCAGCTGCATCTTTCATGAGCTGAGCGTCTCCCCACCACATTTGCCGCTCACTTTGGAGTGAATTGAAGAGCCAAAGTGTGTTTAACAATGCTTCTCCGTTTGAAATTCTTAGGAGGTTTTTTTCGTAGAGAAGTTGTTGTTTTGAATGAAATCAGTGGTATGTTTTGACAAGTCTTTCCTGATTGGACGAAACGCTCTACGCACATGTGAGAAAGCCATTTCGCTGCTGTGATTGGCTATCAGAATTTTTCAAGCGGGTTTTCTCATAAAGAAAACTGTGAGTAAATCTCAGTATGTATATAATAAATATATATACACCGGTTTTCAAAAACGTTAGAAATTGAACACCTTTTCGGGTGCTGCCGGAACTTATGATAGGAAAAAGTTCTCAGTAGGTAAGAACAATGGCTCCTTTGTTTCACTTTCGCACAATAACAAAAAAGGCATTGCTCCTTCGTTGTGAAATTTAAATCCCCAGTCCATCCCCTTTTTGAGGAGAAAAGAAAAGGTATATGTCTAGATATATTTTTTAAAAAGCAACGTTTTTAGAAACTGGTGAACATAATTTTGGGACGACAATTAATACCTCCACTACGTGACTTCCTCCTTTAACGTGTATTTTTCTTGCCCAGTTTTTGTAGCCCTTCGGGAATTCTGTATTATGACAAAATTTGTGCGCATGTAAAGCAGAAAATGTGATGAAATACAGAATTCTTTTCCGGATATGAAAAAAAGTTAGCTAACGTATTCTTTATTTTCTCTGCGGAAACAAACGCCTTGCCAACAGAGTTTGTTTGTTTGTTTGAATTCAAATGGACACAAATGGCGAAAGAATCATTTTGTTTGAATGGTTTAGGAAAATTCATTACCTGACGAGGGAATTTCGCGTTAAATTGCACGCGAAAACCGATATCGCACGAATCGCGAAGCGATAAGTGCGATATCGGTTTTCAAATGCAATTTAACGTCGAATTCACGAATTCGAATTCTTTCGAAACTTTTGAACAAGCTTCATACTATCTTAAGGATAATTGTGGTATTTCACTGAATTTACAAGCTGTTTATCTTTAACATCTTTTTTCAAATTTCCAAATCATTTTCTCGAGAAGGAGAATAATTTACACCTTTTACCTCTTTGGTTGCAAAACTGAAAGAAATGAAGTGTCCAAGCGAAAGCACTGAAAGTTTAACATTGCGATTAAAGGTATTTATTTCTTCTTCTGTATATGTGACAATCGACCCTGGCACTTCTTCTGTTGTCGCTTATTCGTCTTGTTTGGTTGAAATTTTGCTTGCCATTTTCTGGGCCGTGTTTACAGGATTTTTCTCGTTATCGCGAGCGAAAGAGGTTTTTTATGCCTCTCCAAGAATTTGTAGTTCATTTCAATTCGGGAAAGAACCTTTGGCTAACTTAAAAAAACACTTTTGTTTGTTTTTGGCTCTTCAAAAGATGACAATGGTTTTGAAAACACTTCAAAATGACATTGTAGAAAACTTTTTTACAATTTGACGATAGTTGTCATGTTTACGTAGATGCGCAACAATAATAATAATAATAATTATGACTTTATTACAGTATATCCACTGAAAGGTGGCTCTTCATCTGTAAACAATTAACATTGATATTGAAAAGTAAAACATTAATTGATTTATTTAAAATAAATAAATAAAGTAATCTAGAATATGTACAAATCAAGAAATCAAACGTGCATTTGCCCTATTTATAAGATACTTCCTCACTTTAGTTTTAAAATCACTAAAAACTACAGAGTTCCTTGCAGCAGAGGGTAATGAGTTAAAAACATTGGAGGTGCTGTCCTGGAAAGTACCCGACTCAAGGGGTACTATAAACAATATCACTTAGCCTCGTTTTCTACTCGCAATTCCACGCTGAATACTTCGCTCCGTTGACCAATCAGAATGCGAGATTTCATTCAATTCGGAAGAAAGAATAATTCGTAGAAGAAAAAGTCTTTTTCCCGCCGATTTCTTTGAACTTGCACATCTTGGCCGGGAAAGGGAGGCTATTTATTATCTAACTGAGAAAGGAATTAGGCTCGGTGGAAGCGAGAGAGGGAGAGCTTCTCTCTACTACATTATTTCTTGTTACACCCCATCAGTAGGCTAATTACTTTTTAGTTCCTGGAATTCGGAAGAGAACGTTTGGTAAATACCAATTGACCACTTTGGGCTCGTGTATTTGGATTGGACCTCCTCGCTGTCCACTATAATTCCGAAAAAAGCATTAACAATGTAACCGGTAATAACTTCGGGACTCTTAAATACTCTTTTCCTCCTAGATTTGGTTGGTTTCAAGGAAGACGAAGGTTACAAGGCCAATCGTGTCAACGTCGTTGAATCGGATCCAGAATGGAGATCAGGTGGAACAACATTACAAGGCCAAAGCACACAACAGTTTATCCCGGCTGAACCAATCACAGTGGATCCTTCAAAGAAGATTGAGTTGGTTCTCAGGCTTGTGGCAAGGTAACACTTAAGTATGCCTTTTGAGGGAAAGTGAACTGTTTCCAAGTATTTAATGCATTAATAGTTTTAAATTTAGATCTGCTACGGTCCGGAAGATAGTTTTTTAGGCTCTATTGAAATTAATAATCAGTCATGGTTAACTTTTCCCGGACACTTTGCATGGTTAACGACCGTATGGACAAAAATCACCTCGCTAGGGATCTAATTTACGCCTTTTTCATCCAAAACAATCGATGGAAAGCAACCTGATTGTAATATTTTTTGTTTTGGGTGTCACATTGTGCAACTTGTTCTCCAACAAGCTTCTTTTGAACCATAGGGATCGCTAACTGTAAAGAGCCTTTTCTCACTCTTCCTTTGCGGGCCAACAAGCCTCTCAACTAAGGCTAAACACCAAAATTTATTGAACCAGCTTGGCTAGTATTTTCATGTTGGGTATCGTGAAGGGGTCCACAGATACAAGATGAGCTTCCGATGTCGTTTTGTTGTGTTATCTAAAGCAATTTGTTTCCTTTTTGGGTTCTTCTTTGTTTTCAGAGAGGGAGAAGAAGGTCTCAAATTCCCTGAAGGCAAGTGCACTCCGTTGTCAACTCTGATTCCGCCAGCTGTCCAAGAGTAGAGCATAGACTGGGTCGGTGTCTATGCAATGATTGACTGTTAGATAGCTTTAGATAGAGTAACCTACAGAGTGACTACTGGATTCACTTTGACGAAATTATGTCTAAACTGGATAGTTGTGAAAATAAACCACATCGCGCTGATTTTGTACGACCACCTGGTTAAGGACCGTTGAAAATAAGTTGCATGACTTAAGCTAGTCATGGTCAAAAACAAACAAACAAACAGTGGAAAAGTTTGAAGCATGTTTCTGCTATTTTTTCTCTCTGACTCTCTGGTGTGGTTATTTTATTTTGTTATCTGAAAATAGTCAAATCAGAGGAACGTGGAAGGATTTCATCAGTGTGCCTTTCGCTTTACATGAATGTTCATCTAGTAATTTTCCTAGAAATGTGATCGAAGAAATGACTCGAAAAACTGATGTAAAAATAGCTCTCTTATGGGCACATTGGCAAAATAGTCCTTATAATGAACGAGCCAGTTAGAATACTATATAAGCGCCCTATAGCTATGGATCACAGCGAAGAGGCACGCCGCGCGCTTAACTTCCAATGTATCATCAGTGATGTGAGGTTTGTGTTTTTCGAGAACAGCATAGAGTAAATTGAAACTGAGAAATTTTGTTCGTTATGTATTGTACAGTAACTCTGTTATAAACTGTAACAGTTGGGAAGCACTTTGTTGCTTTATTACATCATTCCTAAATCGGTGGAATGAAGGTAATCTTGGATAATTTTGTTTTAAATCGATTTACATGATGTACTCGTTGTACCAAAAGTTCTCTTTTTAATATTTTTTTAAATTTATTGACTCTCTGAATATTTGCAAAGTAATGAAAATCAGATCAAGAGGATCTTCGTGTACTGTTTGTATGTGACCTGAGTAATTTCCTTTTCAACTAAAGAAAAGTGCCAGTGTTTAAAAAACTGCTATACAAGGTTGAATGTGTTCGACAAAGTTGATATAAATCTATAATCGTGCGATCGTACCGAGCCGCCATATTTGTTTTGCTAGTCGACATTTTCAAAGCTCGCGCCACATTTGCGTCCAGATCTCGCGCGGTCAAAAAACCCGATTCGTCACCGGCGATGAGGGACCAACAACCTGTAGTACAGCTATGTCAACCACATGGATACTGCGAAGATAGTTAATTAATTAATTAATCAATTAATAAAACAAAGGAGAACGAAAAAGAAAAATGAAAGATGGTGTACTAAATTAAAGGAATTAAAGAAAGGTGAGGTAGGTTATGAAGTCGGGTTGCTAAATTTAATGGGGTAAAGATAAACTCTAAAACCTTTTGTACAACTTAGTCTAAATATGTAGGTTAACTATGTCTTGAATGTATTAAATATACTTTTAATGGGTTAGTATTAGTTGTTGAAACATTTTCGTTCCTAGTTTGTAAATTAAGAGAAACTGGTTTGAAAAGGGGTGATAGTGTGGACCAAAAAAGTTTTTTTAATTAACGTAATAATTTTTGTTCTTTTGGCCACTAGTGTCCAAAATCACAAATCGGCCACTAGTATCCAGAATTATAAATCGGCTTTCAGAGTCCAAAATTGCAAATCGGCTTCTGGAGTCAAAAATAACAAATCGGCCACAAAGGTTCAAAATCACATATCAGCCACTAATGTCCAAAATCTCAAATCGGCCCCAAGTGTCCCAATTTGCAAATCGGCCTCAAGGGTCCGAATCACAAATCGGCCACTAGTGTCTAAAATCACAAATCGGCCACTAATGTCCCGCCGGCTAGAGTCCAAAATCACAAATCGGCCACTTTTAGGGTCTTCTAGGGTCTAAAATCACAAATCGGCCACTATAGTGACCAAAATCAGAAATCGCCCACAAGGGTCTAAGTTGAATAATAGGCCACTAAAGTCCAAAATCACAAATGGGCCACTTGTGTCCTGAATCAAAAATCGGCAGCTAGAGTCCAAAATCACAAATCGGCCACTAGTGTCAAAAATCCCAAATCAGCCCTAAGTGTCCCAATTTGCAAATCGGCCACATGGGTCCAAAATCACAAATCGGCAATTTTAAGGTCTAAAATCACAAATCGGCCACTATAGTGACCAAAATCCAAATCGGCCCAATTTTCACAAAGGGTCTAAAATCACAAAATCACAGCCACTTTTCCCAAATCAGCCCTAAGTGTCCCAATTTGCAAGTCGGCCACAAGGGTCCAAATCACAAATCGGCCACTAGTGTTCAAAATCACAAATCGGCAATTTTAGGGTCTAAAATCACAAATCGGCCACTAGTGTCAAAAATCCCAAATCGGAAATTTTAGGGTCTAAAATCACAAACCAGCCACTTCTAGGGTTTAAATCACAAATCGGCCACTATAGGGACCAAAATCAGAAATCGCCCACAAGGGTCTAAGTTGAATAATAGGCCACTAGAGTCCAAAATCACAAATGGGCCACTTGTGTCCTGAATCACAAATCGGCAACTACAGTCCAAAATCACAAATCAGCCACTTGTGTCAAAACTTACAAATCAGCCATTAAGGTCCAATAAATGAAATATCAGCCACCAGTGTCCAAAATCACTAAACGGCGTCAAGGGTCCAGAATAATTAACAAATCGGCCCCAAGTGTCCCAAATTGCAAACCGGCCCCTGGTGGCCAAAATCACAAATCGGCCACTTTCAGGGTCCAAATCGGCCACTATGACCAAAATCAAAAATCGGCTACTGGTGTCCAAAATCACAAATCGGCCCGAGGGTCCAAATTGAAAGTCGGCCATTAGTGTCCAAAATCACAAATCGGCCACTAGTGTCCGAAATTACACATGGCCACTAGGGTCCAAATTGAAAAATCGTTCACTAGGGTCCAAAATCACAAATCGGCCACTAGGGTCTACATTGAAAAATCGGCCACTAGGGCACAAAATCACAATTCTGCCACCAGGGTCCAAAATAAAAAAACGGCGTCAAGGGTCCAAAATCACAAACCGGCCGTTTGTGTTCAAAATCACAAATAGGCCACTAGGGTCCAATGTCACAAATTAGCCAATAGTGTCCCAAACAAAAAAATCGGCATTTAGCGTCTAAAATCACAAATAGGCCACTAAAAGTCGATTAGTACACGTTGTGAATGAGATCCCTTAGCCCTTTTCTCCTTTGATTGTTAACTGAAGAAGAAGCATGTTTGCCGTTCTTTGCGACAGTAACAAAAGGTTGAAGTCTCATTCAGTTCTACGATTTCTTAAATTTAGGCTTTAGTAATAGACTGAGTACGAAACGAGTGTGGGTTCGTAATGACTGCCAACCGATTTTAATGAATTATGATTTTTTTTTATCGCTTTTTAATATTCCGCGTTTGCACAAAAAGTGCGCCATGGTTTTCTGGATTTCGAAAGATAATGGGTTGAGCATTTTTAGCAAAGAAGTAGTCTAATAAGGTGTAAAGTGAAGTGTATTTATATCCCTTGGAACAGAAACACGATGGAGGTCAGGTTATCGTTATTTCTTTGAGTTATAGATTTGATTGTGCCCTTCCCGGGTGTGAGTCAACTTTCATATTTCAAATTGCCAAGGAAATACCCGGGTTTTTTAAATTGCATTTATTACGTGGTGTCGAGGTAACACGCCTTGGAGGCGAGATTGATTACACCTTGGTGGTGAGTCTTTCTGGTGGCGAGGTGACTGAGTACCTACTGCTGTGATGGACTGCTTCTGTTTTGTGCCACTAAATCGCTTATGAGAGTTTCTACTTCCATTAAGCTTAAGGTTTCACAGTATAGCTACTATCGTAGTATACGTGTAAGTAAAGTGGAAACCTTGGCATGTTCTTAAATAGATATGCCTTGGAAGGACACGACCTCGTAATAATGAAAGCCGTTTCGTTCTTGGATACTGGCCATCTCACTTTTGGACCCGCTTACTTCACATTCCTTTTGCTGGTTGTTAAAATTAATCGACTGGCACTGATTGGTTTCCAAGCACAACTTGATACATTGTATGACATCAGTGACACTCTGTGATGAAATCACATGACCTGGCAGTGCTTTACCCGGACCAAACCGTGGCTCAAACAACGCTCCCGAGACTAGATGGAAAATAGAAGAAAAATAGAGAGTTTTAATTTTAGGCTTTCACCTTTCATTGATATGGAGAGTCCACACTAGACAGGTTGTGTTACTGAGTATAAAATCAACTACATCACGATCAAAATGAGTCTTTCAAGCTAGAGGAGGATTAAGTAGAAAAACTTTATCCCGGAATCCTGTCGAATTAACCGATGGATTCTATGTTCCGTCTGTCTGTTCCAGTTGTAGATCTCAATTGACGTCAAACGTAGCAAGAAATCAATCAGGCGCGCGAATAGCTTCTGAGTTTGTTATCTAAAACCGAACAGACATGGTGAAAGTCTACTCGAGTTTAGTGCACTGAACAGGAAGATACAATTTGAAAAATCACAAAACTGTTTTGCCTCACAGTGTTCGAGCTGTGATTTTGTTCCTGTAACAATGTTCTTGTGTCAATGGAAAAACGCCTTTTGTTTTTCTTGCTCGCAAACACCTGTTACGTTCTTTTACAATTCGTAACTGGAGTTAAGAGGCTGTCTCTCTTATTTCCACCCGGTCAATTTTGCGTCAAAAATAATTTTGCCTGAAACTCTGTCAACAGAAACACTTTACCTAGGAAAGAACTTAATTAGATTTGGTTTGATTCGAAATAATTTTCTGACTGCATTAGGGGCCATAATTATTTCCCAGTCCGTAGGGACTGTCGCAACGTCTCGAAAATTGAAAAATAGTCATATTTTGTAACATTGTAAAATATTTGATTTGCATAGTTAAGCCACAGAATTTATATCAGATTGCTTAAAAACCTTTCTAGTTTGCCAAGAAAGTTAGAATTTGTCCTCTCAATATATCTGAAAAGGCGAATTTTAGCATATTCTGACCACTAGAAATCGCCATCGGCCGATGGCCGTAAATAACCTTGATTTAGACGTTAAGTTTTGGGATTTGGGACCTGGTTAACGATTCTATCCTACACAGCCGTTAAGTTTAGACCTTTATAGGCAAAAATATGCAAAAACCCCCGTACGTTTTCGATTTTTCAAAAGTTATGACCGTTTGAATTAGCACATGTACGAGCATTCGCAATTTTTTCGCCTACACCAAAATCGAACCACTGGAGCAGATTTCGTCATAAATACAGCTTACCCGCTTTGCAGCCCGGCTTCATGGCTCACTTCAGAATTTTTCTAATAACCAAATTGGTGAAATCCATGATAACTTCAACAAATAGCTAGGTATTGCCTTCGAAAAGTAGGCGGCATCCAACGTGATTCGTGGTATCAAAACAAATGTCGGAATTGGCCACATTTCGCGGTGAATCACCCTTTAACATCGCTGCAGAGCTGAATTTTTTCCAAAATCAGAATATTAACTCTCCATGTCTGGAAGCTGAGGGAGAAATGAAGGTTTTAGGCTTCTGAAGTGAAGAAATAATCGCTTAAATTTAGATCACGACGATCCAGTTCGATGTTATACTGTTCTCACAAAGGTCCGCACAAAAGAAAATACTGCTGATAGCTTGTGCCGTACGTTATGCCGGATGGTTTTGTTTTGTATCCCAATGTAATATTTGGGGAGAAAAAATTTTGGATGAAAAGAATAAATGCTTTTACCTGGAGTTTGATATCATATAATTAATAAATCAATTTCAAATATCCTGAGCTTGCTTCTCTCGGTTCCGCGTCGATTGTGTCCACAGAACAGCAACCTGTCAATAGCCGGAGAAATCGGCTACCAACGTGTTAAAAACTTGACACATGCTTCGTATGAACAGATGTTATAAGTGTTGCTTTTGGTAAATTTTCAATCGATTTCATCAAAACATTTCACTGACTACTAGATATTATAATATATTACACTATAATAACGCCATCAGAACTTGATATCTGAAGTAAAGGTAGTTTGTATCTGTAGAGCATATTCTACACTTCGATACACTTTCAGCCACCGTATAAGACATTGTTTACATAAGTCTACTGGGAAACACATTGACAATCACTAATCACGTCCGACAGTTTGTCTATGAGGATCTGTTTTTTGTCTCTCAATTTTACAGGGATCTCAAAATGACTACAGATGGCTCTCAACAAAACCACATTGAATTTCTGAAGTGTGTTACTGTGGTAACGTTCACAGAGGTCCTACCTATCGTAGCAGATTGGATGTGAGACTTTGATCTCTTTGTTAACTTTGTCTACCAGATCTTGTCTCTCGGAATTTTCCTGGACGCATTGGATATCTCCTCCTCATCCAGTGATATCCCGATCACACCCTGATCTTTTCGCCGCATTGCTGCTAGCCGGGAGAAAAAGCTCTGAACTTGGCTCTTTGTCAGCCACTGTTCTCTAGTGAACAAACGTGCATTTGATTCATTTTTCGCATTTCGCATGTCCACTGCAACTTGGGCGGGGTCTGCCTTTCGCCCAGTTCTTTCTCCAAGTGTAAACCGTGCCATTCTTTTACCTTCTCTGAAAATCTAACGCTGCCCCTTGGTTTGCTTACGGCCCATCATGTTCGTAGAGACGAGTGGGGCGAAGTATCCACAGGAGAAGTGAGTGGTGTGCTGGAATCTAACGAACAGCTCGAACACATATTCTCCGTCAAAGTGCTTTATAGAAAAGTTTTACAAGCCTTTTTCCAATTTTGGTCCTCCACAATGTCAATTCTAAACACTTCCTTGTTTCTGTTTGTTTGCTTCAATAGCTACTCGGCCCAGTGGTGCAATGAGCACTTTATTCATATTAAAGCGATGCGTAAGGTGAGTTGAGGTTGTTGTTGTCTTTTTGTTATCTTTTGAAACGCGTAGACTACAGACACCTTCGCGTCCCGGTTTACTTCAAGTCGATAAAAGAGATTGCCGCAGTGCTTTGTCATGGCTTTTCGTGTTAAAAGTGGCACTTACTAATCAGATGGTCTCTGTAAATGAACCGATTTTCATAACGGTTTTTTTTTCCGGATTTTAGGTTCGTGAAGTACGTGGCCAATTGAAAGATATTATGAACCAACAGAAAATGGCGCTGAAGTCGTGCGGCAACGATTGGGATATCATCAGAAAATGTATCTGTTCCTCTTACTTTCACCAAGCCGCCAGATTAAAGGTAACATGTTACATTAAGGACTTACCTCTATACTTGGTAATTTGGTATTATCAAATGAGTTGATAACGTAAATTGGCCACCTTTATGAGTTTCAAAGCGTTAGCCTTCGTCCTTATCTCTGACGAAGGGCTAACGCTCGAAATGTCAGCTTGGAACTCTTAACGGTGGCCAATTTACGTCATCAACCCATTTGATAATACCAAATTACCTTGTTATACTCTCCCACCAACGCAGCACCACAGTTTTAAAAACTACCCTCTTTAATCATTCCTTTTCTAATAGATTCAAATAACCCCAAGTTTGACCTGTTAACCCTTCAACCCTTCAGAGTGACTAGCATCTAATTTCTCCTTACAATATCACCATTGATTCAAACATTAAGGTAATGAGAATAGGGGAAATGATCACCAACTAAAGCAGCGCTTGATTATAAGACAAATTCTCTTTGTCAGCACCTTGGGAAATGTATAGTGAATAGTATGGAGATTATGGATACTTATGTTAGAAGACAAAGGGTTAATCTGTCTCGATGAGTAAGAGTTTACTGAATTTCGTTACAACTACAAATAGTAGGAAGTTGTTTTATGTTCAGGGTCTCACAAACCGAGATGAGTTTTATAAGCTTCTTTTCAATTCGTACGACGCAGTAATTTTGATCTGAAATATTCTAATTTAGATAATGGTATGTACTTTTTCGGTCATTAAGACCAATAACGACGATGGAAATCAATAACCAAAAAGATGACATGACCACAGTACAGGCTGCGTCAGAGGTTTAACGGCGGACCGGAAGTCGTTTTGATATTAATTATTTGCATTTTTGTCGCAGGGCATTGGAGAATACGTCAACATGAGAACAGGAATGCCGTGTCATCTTCACCCCACTAGTGCTCTGTTTGGTATGGGATACACACCCGACTATATTGTTTATCATGAGCTTGTTATGACCTCCAAGGTAAGACAACAAACCCACGGTAACGTAGTTATTAACTCCCGCATCAGATTTGTAATTCTCCTTACTGTCAACCATACAATTCTTATAATGTTAGTTCAGAGAATTTAGTATTGGATCAACTTATTATCTCCAAATCGATTTTTTTTCTTTATTCTCACCACTTACCTGGTTGATATTGTTTGTTAAGGAGAAATTCTGTCTTGGTCACTCATGAGAGTTAAAGGGTTAACGATAACTTAGGCCCGTGCATTTCCTGACAGATGCGTAGTCACGTGATACCTATAACATGAGAGAGATTCTGACTCTGGCGCACTTTGGGGCTACGAAGTTTGACTGGAGTTCTCTTGACATTGCTTGCCTGTTCCCAACCTCATGGCTGAGGGTCGGTACTATGGATGTAAACGCCAGCTCCAATCTTGTTCTAACATTTGTAATCATCATGTAATGGCCACTTAGGGAGTCCTCTCTTACATGCTAATGACTCTGTCGTCAGGAGTGCACAATGGTACAGCTAGCTAATTTCTTAGGCGTGCACGCATGTTTGTTCTACCTTATTTGGATTTTTTCTCTCAACTCTTTAACGCAGGAATACATGCAATGTGTCACAGCTGTTGATGGCTACTGGCTGGCAGAACTGGGCCCCATGTCTTACACAGTGAAAGAATCCACAAAGACAAGGCTGGTTAGTTCGCTTAGTGCTTTTTAAACAGGACTTCGGCATCTTCAGGGCCGGTGGAGCTAAGAGAGAGAGTCGGGTGTCCCGAAATCATTCAAAAATATAAAGTTTGTTTTGATTACAATCGTGCCTCTTAGTACTCGTAGAACCTGCTATCAGGGGTGCATACTTTTCAATCATCCAATCTCCCCGCGTCCCGATTAAAGTTGGTTTCACCATTCTTACTATTGTGTTCAACGTTATGCTGACGTTATTCACTTTATTTAGTTCATTTTTGATAAACTGTGTATGTCACAGGGCCATACTACCAAGGAAACATGGTATTTTCTTCATTATCTACAAGATTTCGACATAGTGATAACATATGTCGGTAGTCGAGGTTCTGACAGCGTTTCTTCACTATCTTTGTGTTGTCTAGGAGAAACGAAAGCGTGCCAGGGAAGACTTATCGGCTATGGAAGAAGAAATGGCGGCTGCCAGTGCGCAGATGAAAGCTCGAGAAGAGGAAAAGCTTGCCAAACTAACTCCTTCAGTAAAGTAAATAAACATCATGAACTTCCTATTTGGCCGTATCTATAGATCAGTGAAATAGGCCACAATTCTACAATGCTTCTATACAATACTTGTTTTATTTGGTCTCTCTTTCAATAATAGATCACATATCGCTACGCCAGGACGTAAAACACCTGCAACTCCACGCCGAACGCCCTACAGATTTGGACTCTGAAGGCCAACGACAGATTTTGTTCGTCTAAGAAGTTGTGGAAAGAGAGTGGTGAAATTTGAGTCTTCATAGATTTTTACGAAGGACTGGTCAAGCTAACGTTGGAAATAAACTGTATATGAACCCAAACCGAACAGCCGGAAAACCCATACGCATGTCTCTTTACTCTCTGACACGGGTGGGGGGGAGGGAGGAGGAGGAAAAGGGGGTGGGATGTGGAGAGGGAAGCTACTCTTTCAAAGAATGACGTTGCTCGTTGGGAATGTCAGTTTTACACCATTTGAAGAGATCAACTCCCCCACGAGTTATGACTTTTCAACAGCAATCGAAAACATATCACTCTGTTATCACATTATGATGTTACGTTTTCCAAATCTCACTACATCAATTTCCTGTCCAATACAGAACGACAACACTTTTTTGATAAAATACTCAATTTCTATACTCCAAGACATGAGCTGAATAAATTATGATAATGAACTCAAAGAGGGGATCGCTTCTCGCTCTCTTATGAGACTCATAGGAGTCCTAAATTTCCTGTCCAATACAGAATGACAGCATTTTTTTTGATCAAGTACTCTTAAGTTACAACCATTCAATTTCTATACTCCAAGACGTGAGCTGGATGAATTATGATACTAAAGTCAGAGGGGATCGCTTCTCACTCTCTTATGAGACTCGTAACAGTCACCATTAAACATCTCAAACTGTGATGAATCGCGATAACCACGGTTACTGTTTTTTGTCCAAACGTGTGAGAACCGAATGTTCTGTACACGGTAGTGACTCATTTCAGAGCGAATGCTGAGCACCATTTTTGTAGAGTTGTAAATAAATGTACAACTTGCACTGTTCGATTTATTGTCTCTTTATTTCGTCTTCACCTGCTCTGTGTTACGCTTTTCTATATTTGCGTAAAACGAAATGATCGAAGAACCTTATTGTGGTGAGCACAGGCATATGTACTATAAAAGATCACAGTTACAGGAACCCTTTACCTCTGTAAGCGTTTATCGTTCATCTGCTGTACGTGCACTTTCTAAATGTTCGCATTGCTTTGAAAGTAGTATAGCATTCTTACACTCCAATGACTTACAGTAGTCTAAGGATAATTGTTAACAGTTTTGGAAACTTTGTCTTAAAGGAAAAGGGAAGGAAGGTAAAAATTGAGGAGAACATCTTAAATTTGGTCTGCATCCAATTTATAACCTGTGCATTTTTTTCTTAATTCGGCGGCCATCTTCAATCTTGCTTAAAAACAACTTCATGTTAGATATTTTCTAGGCATCCTAAAAACAGCCACTTGGGGGGCGACGATAGTCTCTGGTATAACCGAGATTTTTCTCCACTCCTTGTCTTCTTCGTTGTAACACTCAACACTGTCTAACGTGTTTAAGATAGATCGGCCATTCGACCCGCCAAACACATACACGTGATCTGCCACGCACGTGATTCCACATCCCGCACGTGGTACACCAAGTCCAGGTACCAAGCTCCACTGGAACTTCTTAGGGTCAAAGATCTCGCAGGTTGTGTGCATGCTATAATTTGAACCAGCATAACCGCCAACTACCAAGACTTTCCCGCGAAGTGCATGAACTGCAGGTTGTTGGCGTGACATGGTCATGTCCGGGAGAAGGTTCCATCTCATAATCGTCGAGTCGTATCTTTCGCAGCTTTTAAAATTCTCTTTGTCTCCGCTGATGACGTAGATAGAATCATTTAATACTGTTGCACAATGGCTGTCACGTGGTAAGTTCAAGTCTGCAACAAAATGCCATTGATTGCGCTCTCGGTTGTAACATTGTGTTCTACGAAGTGCCGTATTGCAGCAGTCTTTGCCGCCAATAACAAACAACTTCTCATCTAATGACACAACGGCAGCAAATGAAACTGGGTGAGGAAGATCTGCTACATCGCAGTACCATTTATTCCTGAGAGGGCTAAATCGACACACGTGGGAATGAGCTGAGACATTTCTACATACTCCTCCCACTAAGTACAAAGAACCTTGGCAGACAGCAGCACTGTGACCGTGTCGCGGAATGTGAAGATTAGATAGCGTTACCCATGAGTCACGCAACGGTATGTACGCCAAAACACTGTTGTTTGAGCCATACTTCGACACTGATCTTCCCCCTGTCAATGCTACCACTGTCTCGAGAGGTCCAGTTCTTGGCACATGCAGCTCTCGAAATTTCTCTGACGCCGAGGAAGTTTGTTTGATTGTTTTCAGTAAAACGTTCACTTCGACTGCGTTACTTCGAAGCAACACATCACTCTTAACAATGTTGATCAAATAATCCTTGCGGATAAGCGGAAACCGAACATGTTTTAGGACTTCAAGAAGCAGTTTCTCCCTCGACTGAAGATCGTACCTTATCCAGGAGAGCGCAGAACAGAGCACTTCGCTTTCGTTGTGAACATTAAGCTCGTCACTCTTGAGTAACCTAATGAGCGCCTCGAAACTCAATTCTTTGAACGCTTCCGATTTTGTTACCATAGAATAGTTTTGATTTGTGAAGAAAGTGCACGATTCTTTCAACAGAGCACAGTCGAACTTAGTGGAAAACCTCTGTAGGGAGAGACAATTTGAGATGTTGATGAACTTTTCTAACGCAACAGCAGCATGCAATTTTAAGGCTGGAATATTCAGGTAATCGGCAGCCATGACTAAATCTTGAGCATTGGATTCATTTATCTCCACCTCACCCGTATAGAGAAATTCAAGGACTTTTTCCATGCCATATATACCTTCCAGCTCCACCACGCCGCTCTTTCTCTCACGAAAATCATCCGAGAACAAAGCTTGAAAATAAACGCTGCCTGCGGCCAAAACACAACGGTGAGCAGGAAACTCCAACGTTTTGTCAACACGAATGAGAACGTCACAAAGAATGCAAGCTTGCCTCAGTTCGTTAAGAGATCGCAGAAGACTTTCTCTAAATTTGTCGTCGATTGTTCGGCCTCCTTGATTATCAGATGTAGAACACATTTCCTTGCCGGCTTTGAAGTGAAATCGGAACGTTGAGCAGTATGTAAATTGAGGTAAACACCCGTGACAGTCACCCCTAACCTGACTCATGTGCAATTAATGTGGTTTTTCGATCTGACTCCGGGTAAGTCACATGAAGTAAACTAATGTTTCTACGTGAACAATGCAAGAACATTACTAGTAAATTGGTGAAAAAACATTCAGGGAATTATAAGGTACCCTCAGTAATTTCTCTGCCATGAAGACTCTCACCGTGAGAACAAAATGGAACCACTACTGTTTGCCGCCATGGTCGTCACTTCTTATCTTGAAGTCGAAGTTCTGTTCACAACTAAAAGAAAAATATTAGATATTAAAAAAAATGGTAAAGCAAACTAGATACAAAAATAATAATAACAATCATGGTGATAATTAAAATATTAATAATAAATGACAATTAAAACATAAAAGACATAAATTACAATTCTTACTACGCTCAAAACAACCTTGTAAGTGAGTTTGCTAGAACCCGGTGAGAACTGGGAACCACTGCGAACCATAGAGCGGAAGCGCTTTCAAAGTACAACGCGGAAAAAATATGCCTACCTCTTCAGAATAGATTACCACAAAAATGGCCACAGCACGAGAAGAGTACCGCATAATTTCTTACGGGAGGTTGCTCATAGAGCTATCGATTGCACTATCTACTAAAGATCTGAAAGAGTTTGCATTTGCTGCGAAGGACTTTCTTCCTTCGGGGATAATAGAAAATACAGGAAGTGGGCTGCAGTTGTTTAGTGCTCTACAAATAGACGACAAAATTGGCCCAACTAATGTGACCTTGCTACAGAATATGTTTGAGACAATCGGCAGAGTGGATCTCTCGCGGAGAATTCAGGATTTTTCAATTACAACCGACGGAATTGAGCCTGAAGGTAAGCTTTTCTATCGTGTATCGGATTAAGGAGAATTTACAGGATACCTTTTGTAGAACGTTTTTTACAACTAAGCGATCAATCTTTGGCTTGAATGGCGTTACTTGTTGTGGAAAAGTGATCAACAGGGGTTGTGCATGAGATAGAAACGAATTACTCGGTCAACAACGATAATTAGTAAACATTTTCTCGGCTATTTGGGAAACGTGCTAAAAACCATAAAACTGGTGTAAAATTTTACTTGAACGCAATGGAATGCGTCTTATGCGTTGTATTGCATCCTAAGCACTTTCGAATCCTTTGTCCCTTAAAACATAGATAACCATCAAAATGACCTCCCATAGCTTAAGTTGTTTTTTTTCAATCTTTGGCTTGAATGGCGTTACTTGTTGTGGAAAGTTGATCAACAGGGGTTGTGCATGAGATAGAAACGAATTACTCGGTCAACAACGATAATTAGTAAACATTTTCTCGGCTATTTGGGAAACGTGCTAAAAACCATAAAACTGGTGTAAAATTTTACTTGAACGCAATGGAGTGCGTCTTATGCGTTGTATTGCATCCTAAGCACTTTCGAATCCTTTGTCCGTTAAAACATAGATAACCATCAAAATGACCTCCCATAGCTTAAGTTTGCCACAAACCTTAATACTTCCTTAGGAAGTTGGAAATTGATTATACTAACTATTGTTTTTAATGGCGATTATTCAAATTCCATAATTTTATCATAAACAGCTAAGCTACATGACTTAGTGAGCGACGAGGGAAGGAATGACAATGATCATACAACTAAAGAAAGAGATCCTTGTGACACAGTAAACCCTGCTGGAAATAAAGGTACAGCATTATCAGTAAACTGTCAATCCTTTAACTTGCAAGATCTGATTGTTAATTCTCTCCTCTTGCTGCTACACAATTCCTTATAAATTAGTGATAAGAATTTGGTGCAAGATCAAGATAAAAACTTCCTCTTGATAATTTTGAGTATTCTCATTAACCATTTGCTAGAAAACATATGAATATCACTGGGAGAAGTTACCTGTTAGTCACTTCTGGGAGTTAAAGGGTTAAAGTATCAGAAAGTTTCATTTGGAAATGAGCTGAAGTAAAAGTTGCAACACAAAACTTTTATTTTGATTAACCATGCCTGATGACTGGATTTTTAAACACATCATTTTTTTCTATTTTGATTCAAAATTGTAACTATGTTGTGAAAAAATTAATTGCTGATAATCTATGTATTTCATTATCATGTTGGGTG